AACTTTTTCTTTATTAATGCTCTCTCGGGACTCCCCTCGTCTGTAACCAGTGTTGTCTGGTTCTGTTGGCTGGGTACTAGTAGCGGCAGCCAGGAGGAGACACTCAGTTTCGACATTTCTACTACACAAGGATCTACAAGCTCGAGTAGTGGAATCAGAAACAGACTTATGGGAAAGATGGGCGTGGGTGCTTTTGGGAATTGGGGGAAGGAAGTTTTGGGAATCATGACAGTTTACGCTCCGACAGACTCAAGCGAGCGGGCAACCTTCTTCAAGTACCTGATCCACCACATACCAAGGTCGAGAAGTTGCTTATAGCAGGAAACTGGAAACCGGTCTTTAGACGAAGATGTGCAGCCAAACTCTAATGCAGCAAGAAAGAGATCTACAACTCTTCTTGGAATTAATCATGGAGATAAAGTTAGCAGATTTGATCCGCCTGCTGAACCAGGATAACCCCAGCTACACGTGGATCTTCCTCCATGTACAGGGACATGCAATCGGTGACAAAAAGGCCATTGGATTATTTTCTGGTCAATGACTAAATCCTGGAAGGAGTCATTGCAACTAAGTGTGTGTGCAACCCAATCTCAAACCACAAGCTTGTGGTGGCAGATATAAGGCTGCAATCAAGGGTAGAAAGAGGAAAAGGATTGTTCAGGCTCAACAGTCAAGTCTGGAGGGAATTGTCGAGGGAGGAAGACACTTCCTGTCTTGTAGAGCTAGGTTGATCGGTACTATGGAGGGTTGTGGAACCCTGTTACCCTAGCAGAAGGGGATATGAGATCAAGCGAGCTCTGGTACGAGGACTGAAAGCCTAGACTGACGCCCCATCTGTTGGAAGGGGGAATTTAGGATAGTAGGCAATTTAGTTTCGCCCCTCCCACTCTTATATTTTTCGAAAGTTTACCGAATGTTCTAAATTAGGCTAATTGGATTTTTTTGTAGTTCCTAGTTTCATTTTCATGAAATTTTCTGATGAGTTTTCTGAACGTACTCATTATAGGATGTTGGGCCCGGTTCCCAGTTTGTGCCAATTTGTAAGGATATGGTTGTATTTATGGGACGCTGGACCCGGTTTCCAACAGGTGCTGCTCCCCACCAATAGATGAAGCTTGTTTTTTGGAAAAAAAAATGAAAAGTGTTGGAAGAGTCAGGGATGTCCAAGTGGGTCACGGACTATCTACACAGGTGTGAGGGTGCAAAGCAGTACTTTGGCTCAACAACCGAATGGGCGGACAGTGCCCTTGCGATCATCTCAGGTGTCATGGATGTCTGTTCCAATCACAAGCTTGGCAGGATCAAAACAGTAGCAGCATGTCAAATTTTATTCTGGTGAAACTCGTCCATTAACAACTTCAAATGAAGTATTGTTGATTACCTTCAAGGTAGGTTTCCTCTTGGATAGGAAAGACAATCACTTTGTTTTTTCCTGTCTCACAGCTCCATCTCAGGCATGTTATTTCCCTCAAGGCTAGAGGTTGTTCACATAGTTAAGTAGCAGAGTGAGGATTGAGTTTAAAACGTTAAAAATACTAGCATAGAAGATCAATTGGAGCCTATCTCGTAAGCGAAACTGACTCGTTTTGATTCGGGGAAAAAAAAAAAAAAAGCTACTGCAACAGGTGGGGGGGAGGTGCCGTAACTGCACAACCTTTCGGCTTTCCCACCTTTTTCCCCGATAAAAAAAAAAATAAAAAAATTTGGTTGAAGCACGACAAGAAATGGACATTGTAGTATGAGGTTATAGGTTGAAATCTTCGGGACTGCAATTACGCTTATAGACAGAGGGCATTGACCGACGAACCATATGCATAGTAGGGTTGCTATGTATTGGGGTGTCGAGATCAAGGGGCTTATGGGGTGTCACAGTCGTCTTTAGCACTATGTAGTAGAGACAACGCCTATGGATGATAGGCTAGGTGGCGTGAGGTGGGGTGACGGTCAACCTCGTGCTCCACAACTTTCCTTGTTGGAGTAACTAAAATGCGGAAAGGGTCCGAAAAGCAGGAATGGGGGTGTGCCAAGGATTATAGGAAAAAAGTTGAGTGTGGAGTTCCGGGTTGGAGCTGGGATCTCCCATGTGGTTTCCGCTTGTGGTGTGACAATCAGTGGCGGGAACAACATAGAGAGACAAGCATCGGTGCAAGGACTCCCTAATCTAAAAAGTACCTTAAAACTTCGTTGTGTGCGTGAGGACGTCTTTTCCCTGGACGAAAAGGTGCGGGTGTGTATCCAGGATCTCGGTTATGGACAAGGCTCCGACGCGTTTCGGAGAGTTCGGAATCAGAGTCACAGGGGTGCAGTCGGACTGCTCTCTTCACGACTTTCATTTCTCTAAGTGACGCGTAGTCGAATCCCTGCTCCCTTAGCCGTTCCATACAGCGATAGTCAGAGCATAAAGTGCAGGGCCAGTGCAGTGCTGAGTGCGACAGTCGAAAACAACGTGTTTCATAAGGGTATTAATTGGGGCGTTCAATCTGAGCTACGGCTTCCTGCACATCCTCACGCAAACATGTGTCTTATCCTCTTTGTACGGAAACGAGCGTGAGCGAGGATAATCACGAAGTCGTAGCTCGAGTAATCTGTCATCGCAGTCCACATGGTCATCCATCGTCAGCTTCATACACATCCACCATTCACAAACAAATCGACTTAGTCCCCATCAACTCGTGTGATCATCCGCACGAAGGAAATCAGAGAATATGACGTTCTCAGCTGGCCACAAACAGTACGCCGCCTGAAATTTGCGGCTTTGGGACCTAGGCTCAGAGACAAGTCCGTGTTTTGACGGTACTTTGTTTGAACAGGCAACAAAAATTAGGGGAACTTTGGATACCCCTGAATCTGGGCGCACTAAACCTTACGAGTAATCCTCAAAGATGGCGAAATGAGTGGCCGCACTCAGGGACCGTTATTTCTGGCCATTCAGAGGGTTAGACCCGGATTGGCCTGCCGCGGAGAGGCATCGAGGGAACTGACCTCGCCGCGACGTTTTTTGCAGCATACGACCGGGGCCGAAATGAGGCCTCAAATTTTCGTCTATTTTAGTACCATAATTAAAAATGAGGAAAAAAGATTAAGACCAGTAGGGGAGAAGAAAAAAACATAATATCCTTTAATTTCTTAATTTTTTCACGGCATTTAATCCTAGGGGGAATACCCTTGTTATTTTATGTTCCCGACAATGAAATTAAAAAAACATAGAAAAAGATTAAAAATGGTAAAAGGAAAAAGAAACAAAAGGAATTCGGCCATTTATTTAAACTTTCTCGGAATTTAATTTTGGGGAATTTACGGTAAAATTACTAGTTCCGACAATAGAATTAAGAAAAAGGAAAAACAATTAAAAACGATGAAAGGGACCGAAACCCATGACTATTGGGAGATTGGCCTAATTTCGCCTCGATCACCCGCCATCAGCTCTGACCTCGGATTGATCATTTTCCCCGGATTCTAACAGTTCTCGCTACTGCAAATGGTCGAGGTTCCCTGCGTCACGTTCCCTGATCTACTTGATTACTAACATCACCGCAGTTGGGATGTTCTGAGAGCGGGAGTCGCATGGACTGCATGGGGTGGTGCTACCTTGGGTCGACAGTATGGTATGTGGCTCGGTACGGATACATGGTTCGAAGAGGTTCGGTATTGTTATGGAGTGGCCGCGTCCTACTGTGTCTGACGTGCTTCCGGTTCGGTATGGGCCCGATGACAACTGTTTCATTACGGTGACTCATTTTCAGGTTTGGGACAGATGCGGTGAATTATTCTCAGGACCAGGGCCACGACGACAGTTATTCCAGGTTTGGAACCTTGGCGGCAGTATGTTTTCAGGTCCGGAAACATTACGGCGTTTTATATCGGGTTCGGGACTATCACCGTGGGTTATTTTCATATCAATCATCATGGATATTTACTTCAGGCGCGGCGTCGACACAGTGAATCATTTCAGGTTCGGCACTACCATGGCGGCGTATTTCAGCTCCGGCACCGTTACGACTGCTTACTTCAGGTCTAGGGCAGGTTTGGCGTTACCCAGGTAAGGCGGCGCCCTACGGTATTCAGTGTGGGCATGTGCGACCTCGTACTGGGATGATTTACTTCGGGGTTGGTGCCGTCACGGTGATTTACTTCAGGCTCGGCATTGACATGACGTTTATTTCAGGCTCGAGACAGTATGATGGCAATTCAGCTATCTAATATAGTACAGTGGCACATCTGAGCGACTGCATGGCACCTTCGGGTGCACTAGCTTGGAACAGGTGCGGTGCAGTCACAACTGACCCGGGACGGCTGCGGTGGAACCTGCGGTAGGCAACTGAGACGACATGGTTTTCGTGAAGTACAATGGCCGCACGGAGTGGGAATTTCGACTGCTGAATCGGGACGTGCTGGGATGGGGCAGCTACAGTGCGGGTGCAATGGTGTATGGGCTCCAATCTGGCCTAGTTCCCGGATCTGAACTTTCACCATTTGCAGGTCTAATGGCTGGTACCGCTGGGACAGACGGGGCCAGTTTCTATTCCAGGCCAACGTGGCGCGACAAGCAGAGGAAATCTACGGTACTTGTGTTGCGGCTGTCACGCACAGATATAGGCCACGAGTGGGACTGAGAGGGGGAGAATTCGGTGTGTGCAAGGTGTACCCGCACACTGGCACAACTCGAAGGGAGTAACGGTCAGACGGGGGCGGTCTCTCGCAGCATGCAAGGTGTACCCGCCCACGTCGCTTATTCCGATGAGGTCAACGGGAAGCAGGGGATAGGCGGTTACAGGAGATGGGAACGGGGGAAGTCTTGAGAGCATGCAAGGTGTTCTCTGCCATTATAGCAACTGAGCGCAGGAAGGGAGAAACGAGCCGCTGAGGAAGACGATGAAGGGTTAACTGCAGCAGTTCATACCCATTTTGCTCGCTTCGTGTGGCGGGTGTATCTGGCGTGGTTCTGGCAAGAAGATCATTCGAAAATTATCGTAAGGGAGCACCTGGCCACCTTGTGAAGGCGCGTGCATCTGGCTTTGTTACAGCGGGAGGATCATTCGGAGAGGGAGTATCTGGCCATGTTTTAACCGGAAGTTCATACCGTTACACATACTGAGGCAACACGCCATGTTCTAGCGAGTTCTTTCCTGTAGCAGGATCTAGAGGGAACGCTGAGAAGTTGATTCTCATTCGCGAAAGGAGCTGCGCGCAGGCAGAGGAGAGCAGGTCTGCGCGAGTGACAGCGCAACAGGTGCAAGCGAGCAACAGCGTCGGAGCTGCTCGCGCAGTCCTAGGCGCATGAGAGAGGGGGAGAGAGGGAGACTGAGAGAGAGAGAGAGAGACTGTGGCGAGGAAGGGAGACTGCACAGCGAATGGAGGGGAGAAGGTACACGGTGAGGGAATGTGAGAACGAGAAGACGCGAAGTGAGGAATAGAGAGCGTGAAGGAGGGAATTGGGGAAACCATTCGGAAAGAGAATTTCGAATAGGTAGTCCAGACTAAGCCGCCCGCTAAAGTCAGAGTTCTCACAACCTTCGAGAGAGGGACTGCGCATAGTACATTTGGTGAGCTCTGACGAAAAGTAGCAGTCATCCGCAGCCCGCAGACGAGCCAGAAACATTACTGTTGAAAACTGACCAATCGAGCTTTCCCGCTCCCGGCGGGTCGACGACATTACTATTGGGGGGGGGGGTGCCTAATCGAGCTTTCTCTCCATCAACGAAAAGGGGGGGGTATGACCTTCGCCGATTGGCCAACCAACGAGTTTTCCTGTCACTTACGGAGCAAAGAGCGACGCGCTTGCCAGTTAGCGCATCGTCAAGCTTCCTATTAAAAGGGGAAGGGGGGGTCGACGTGCCAATCAGAGAGGGGAACAAGTGCGAGGTAGGGTGTGTTCAAACAGGGAAAGCAAGTCTGGCGCATGTGAGCTTATTTTCTTAACTAATATTTCGTTAAAATTAACATTTTTTACTATTTTCGCGAAATTGAACTCTGACAATTTCGTCTATGCTTTTGTGTGGAAATGAGTGACTTCCTTCTTTGCAGTAATGGCTACCATCGCATTGTGATGGTATACCATATCCCATTAGATGGTAGGATCATCTACCACAGACCATGCACCACAACTATGGTATGGTATATCCTGTATCGTAAGAGTCCATCATATAACATACATCATTATATGGTACCCCCAGTTCACAACCACACTTATGTTTGAGTGACTTCCTTCTTTGTAGTGATGGCTACCATCACATGTTCTTAGTATACTATATCCCATAAGAAAAAGACCATACACGACAACTATGGTCCCTTATATCCTCTACCGTACGAGTCCATCATACAACATACATCATCAACGAGCAATGTGAGTCCAAATGAAGTTATGCCAATGTCTTTCCTGAATTTCTTTAAATGATTTCCAATTCCTCTCAGTTTTCTTCGGTGTATAATAATATGAGAGGATACCCACAACCTATCGAAGGCTCTGAACTGTTACCAGTTACGACAACACTAAACGAATACGATGCAATTGCAAATTTGCAAATCATGAAGCTATTGAGTCTATTGCGATCTTCGTCTAATGCTCTGTATGTCGTCCATTGTGAAATTGAATGGTGGCACCTTGCCTCTCGCTAGAAGAGATGCATAAGTGAGCATGAACACTCCGCACTGACTTGCGTCCTTCTGTTTCGGAATGCCCTTCACTTCCAAAGTGTGTTCGAAGCACGATACGTCTATTGGTCGGCCCTGGTGCGTTGAGCGCTCTAGTAAAAATCGCGCGAAATAGCCTGTCACCTGTTCAGCTAACTTCGTGTTTGTATCCATTGAATCGTAATAGTCTATCACATTTCGTCGACGGTCGGCCGCAACAAGTGTCCAGTGTTTCTTTTTCGTATCATAATATGGCGCTAGAATCAATTCCGTGTCTGCTATGATGACATCTCGAAACCATCTAGCAACTTTGTCGTACTTATATTCCATGTTCCTGCCTAGAAGTTTAGTGAAAAAGTATGAGCTATATGCAGCTGAGATGGGGATCGTCCTCGTGCTACATAGATTGGACTTGTCAAACTGATTGTCACATTCGTGATGAAATGTTCTGCAATTGTTGTCATGCAGAATCATTTTCATGTAGAAATTCACAATGTTGTCGTTCAACCACTCGTTCTCGTTGATGAGGACGCTGAAATCATGCACGGTGAATAACAACTGCTCTCCTGTAGCTTCATTCTTCGTGCTTGTCAATGTTTTCGTATTATTCAGCTCTATACTCATGTGAAGTAATGCCTCTTCTTCGGTCTCATTGAGAGCATCCGTTGCTAAGTGAATAGTCCAGCCATGTACACAGCTCCGTTCGCCTTCATTACACTGGTTAACTGCATCACCGAACAACAATTTGAACTGTTTGTTGTTAATGTCTGTTTGCACTACATCCATTATAACCGTGTTTGTCGAACACTCCGTAATTGTATGTTGCACTTTAGCGTCTACTCTGTGTGTGTGTGTGTGTGTGTGTGTGTGTGTGTGTGTGTGTGTGTGTGTGTGTGTGTGTGAGAGAGAGAGAGA